TCAAACATTCACAGGCCAGGTGCAGAGCTTCCTTTCTTTTCTTAACCCATGTAAAAAGGGGTTGGAAGAGATCGAAGCAAAATTAGAAGGGCTCCTGGCGCGTCTAGACGTTTTAGTAAAACAAAAGGATGTCCTTGGTTTGATCAACCGCACTGGAGAAAGACCATCATCGCATAAAACACCAACAACTTCTCTAGTAGATGAATTTGGTGTTTATGGTAGAGACGAGGATAAGGAAGCAATACTGAATTTGCTTCTCTCAGATGATCCAAATGGAAAAAATCCAGGCGTTATTCCCATAGTGGGTATGGGTGGGGTTGGTAAAACCACACTTGCTCAGATTGTGTACAATCACGGCAGAGTACAAGAGTGGTTCAATCTCAAAGCTTGGATTTGTGTTTCAGAAGATTTCCATGTTTTCAAGTTAACCAAGGATATCCTGGAGGAGGTCAACCCGGAGGCTTCTGATGCTAAGAGTCTGAATCAGTTTCAACATAAGCTGAATGAGACATTGAGGGGAAAGAAATTTTTGCTTGTTTTAGATGATGTTTGGAACGAAAATTATGTTGATTGGGACACGTTGCTTACCCCCTTGAAATGTGGAGCACAAGGGAGTAAGATTCTTGTTACAACACGTAATGAAAGTGTAGCATCAGTCATGCAAACTGTTCCATCTCATCATCTAAAAGAACTAACTGAAGACAGTTGTTGGTTCTTGTTTGTCAAACATGCATTTGGTGATGAAAATCCCAGTGTGCATTTAGAGTTACAGGCAATTGGCAGAGCAATAGTGAGAAAGTGTAAAGGTCTGCCTCTGGCTGCAAAAACACTCGGAGGTCTCCTACGCACCAAAAGAGATCCCGAGGAGTGGGAGAAGATATTGAAAAGCAATCTATGGGATTTACCCAATGACAATATTCTCCCAGCTTTGAGATTAAGTTATCATTATCTCCCATCACATCTGAAGCAATGTTTTGCTTACTGCGCGATATTTCCAAAAGATTATGAATTTCGAAAGGATGAATTGGTACTCCAGTGGATGGCAGAGGGCTTCTTAGTCCAACCTGGAAATGATGAGATGGAAGCAGCAGGTGACGAGTACTTTCATGATCTCATATCAAGGTCGTTTTTTCAGCAATCAAGCGCCTCTCCGACATTATCTGTGATGCACGATCTCATAAATGACTTGGCTACTCATGTGTCAGGTCAATTTTGCTTCAGGTTGGAGGGAAATGATTCACACAAGTCTAGTACAAGGACTCGACATTTATCAGTCCCACGAACAGATAATGGTTTTTTGAGAGAAAAGTTTGAAAACATCCGTGAAGCTCAAAATGTGCGCACATTCCAAAAATTTCCAGATCAGTATTATTTCGAAGTTGATAATAAGCTCTCGCATATGTTGTCCACACATGGGCGCCTAAGAGTGCTATCATTGCTTGAAAGTTGTGATGCAGCTAAGGTGTTCAATTCAACCGGCAACTTAAAGCATTTACGGTATTTGAATCTTTCTGGATCATTAATTCGAAAATTGCCCGAAGTGGTGGGCACTCTGTACAATTTGCAAACATTGATACTGAAAGATTGCTATCAACTTGCGAGGCTGCCTGATTTTGTTAATTTGAAGCATTTACGACACGTGAATCTTCAAAAGACACAAATCCGAAGGTTGCCTGCATCTATGGGAAGGTTAATCAACTTGCGGTATCTCAACATTTCATACGCACCTTTGAAAGAGATGCCACCGCAGATGGGTCAATTGACAAAGCTCCAAACTTTAACTGGTTTTGCCGTGGGAAATCAGAGTGGGTCTAGCATTAAAGAATTGGGAAAACTACAACATCTACGGGGAGAACTTCATATTTGGAATCTTCAAAATGTTATGGATGCTCGGGATGTGGTTGAAGCTAATTTGAAAGGAAAAAAGCACCTTGAGGAATTGGAGTTTAGATGGGGTCGCGACACTCATGACTTACAGCATGTAAAAGGCATACTTGAGAAATTAGAGCCACATAGCAGTGTGAAGAGTCTTTGTATTGATGGTTATGGGGGTACAAGCTATCCAGATTGGGTAGGAGACTGGTCCTTCTCAAATATAGTATCCTTGACGCTCACAGGAAGTAAAAACTGCAGCTCCTTACCGCCGCTTGGGCAGTTGGCGTCTTTAAAGGATCTCTCACTCGAAGCATTTCATAGTGTTATGACTGTGGGTTCTGAGTTCTATGGGAATTGTACTGCTACGAAGAAGCCATTTGAATCCCTCAAAACATTACGGTTTGCACGGATGCCACAGTGGCGAGAATGGATGTCCGACGGAGGCAGCAGGGAAGCTTTCCCTCTTCTTGAAGAGCTTTATATAAGCAGTTGTCCCAACCTTACAAAGGCCCTACCTAGTCGCCTTCCTTGTTTGACAAAACTTGTGATTGAAGGTTGTGGGCAGCTCGCGACGCCATTTCCTAGGTATCCAATCATCAATAAGATTAAGTTGGTGGATGCTTCTCGTTGGCTGGACTTGGTGAAATTACCTTCTGGGTTGCACCGTCTTGATGTTCATCGATTCCACTCCCTAGAGTCCCTACTCAAGGAAATCGAGCAAATGGGTTGTTCACCCACTGATTTAGGAGTACTTGAGATCAGCTATTGGGCTTCTCTCAAATGCTTACCGCTGGAGTTGTTTCCCAAGTTACGCACTCTTTCTATCTATTCCTGTCCAGATTTCGAATCACTTTGTGCACATGGAGGACCTCTTGATGTTCTCGCCTCTCTCGTTTCATTGAAGATCCAGCACTGCCCTAAATTAGTTTCTTTTCCCAAAGGAGGATTACCTGCCCCAGTTTTAACCCAGCTTGAGTTATGCTATTGCACGAATTTGAAGTTGTTGCCAGAACGTATGCATTCTCTCCTCCCATCTCTTGAGCATTTGAAAATTGGTAATTGTTTAGAACTTGAGTTGTTTCCAGAAGGGGGTTTGCCCTCCAAATTACAATCACTTGAGATATGGCGTTGCAACAAACTCATTGAAGGCCGCATGCAATGGGGCTTGCAAACGCTCCCTTCTCTTTCAAAATTTACAATTGGTGGCAGCAAAAATGTTGAATCACTCCCCGAAGAGATGCTGCTGCCCTCAAGTCTTACCTCTCTTGTTATCTATTACCTTAAGAATCTGAAATCTCTGGACTACAAGGGGCTTCAACACCTCACCTCTCTTAGAGAATTGAGGATATGGGTCTGCCCTAAGCTCGAGTCCATGCCAGAAGAGGGGTTACCCTCCTCCCTTTCTTCGCTTACAATTTACCGTTGTCCTATGCTGGAAAAAAGGTGTAAAAGGGAGAAAGGTAAAGATTGGCCAAAGATTTCTCACATCCACCAAATAGAGATTGATGGTCGCCAAATTTAAAAATATGATTATTAATTTTCACAACATCAATTGAGCCAAAAGGAGTAGTTGCGGTTCTTTCCATCGTTCAACATGTTGAGGTATTGCTTCTCAATTGCTTATTTTCTTTGAATTAACCAATGGCAATTTCAGTTTAATATTTATCATGTTCCACTATTAATTCTGTGCGTATCTTGGCAGGATTCAAATACAACTTTGCACTTACAGTTTCTGAAGGGTCTGTCTTCCTTCCTTCCTTCCTTCTCTGCATACCCTCTGCTGGAATAATGTGCGCAAGAGATACATGACAAAACAGTATCTAATTGTTTTGCTTACTCTCTCAGGTATTAATAATTTCTGATTTTCATTTTATTTCTCTCTGAGTTTGTCATTTCAATTTCTGAAGGGCCTGTTAGTAATTTCCTTGTGTATTCGTGGCAGTATTACTTTGTTGTCAATGCTAATTGCCCCATTCTGGAGGGGAAGCATCGTAGTTTCGGAAAAACAGAGTTGTTCCCCAAACCTACAGGCTACAGGTTTTTCGAATGAAATTGTGCTGTTGTTTTTGCATCTTAAATGTCCTTTTCATGTTCTTGGTTTTAATCCTCTATTGATTCTTTGCAGAGTTCTGATCCAAATTTTATTCTACATGCATCGGCAGCACATGAGTTTATTGGGCCAGGTAAATACTTTGTTATCAGCATGCGCATTCTAACCATGTTCTCAGTCTATGAAGAAAACAAGAAAAGGTTTCAGAGAAAGAAAAACTCCTGACAGCTTTAGACATGGTCATTTTTTCTGTGCTGTTATTGATTCTTCATTAAATTGTGCCAGCAGTATTTCATTGTGATTACTAATTGCCAATTCCAGAGCTGGAGCATCATCTATTCACAAAAACAGAATTGCCCTGAATATCTACAGGCTTTTCATATAAAATAATCTTGCAGCCAGAGTGCCAGTATTCATTTTCTAAGTCCCTTTCATGTTCTTGTTATAAAGTCTTTGTTGATTTCTTACAGAATTCTGATCCATGGGCGGGCGCAGGTTTTGAACATGGGATGAGAAAGAACAGGACATGTCAACCTGAATCATCGAGTGTATGCAAAACTGAATTGGCTTAACCTAGGCCAAGCCCTACTTGGGCTTCGAAGATTGCTTAAACATTTCACCGAGTACAGTCCCAGCTCACTCTTCACTCATCACCATCAACGGAACAAACCCACTGTTGCAGCTGCTGCCGTCGACAAAGCCTAGTCAGTGTGAGTTCTTAACGTGTAGTGCGGTTTTTCATCTCATCCATTTTAGCTGTAAATCTAAAGGTCATCTACTGTATTTTGTTGGGGTTGGTTTGAATAACGACCCAAATTTCTCTTTGTTCTTTACATTTTGGAAATGACAGAAACAAATTAAATGTTAAGTTGTAATTCTTGGCATTTCTTTTCTACGCATATACATTAGCAAGCTAGAGAATAGAACTTTAATTTGAACTTGTTTTCTTGGATACTGGGTCATGGACCGTCGTTATCATCTTCAAGTACTTGCACGCCTTGTCGTTTGGGAGAATCAGGTGCGTTTACTGTCAATGATGTATCTTTTAATTGGCTTGTTGATATATAAGATGGGTTCAAGGCGTAGGGAGAGACGTAGCATGAGGGAAAGAGCTTTTGTTAGACTCTGCAGCTGGAGCATCATGTTTTCCCAAAAACAGAATTGTCCTGCATATCTACAGGTGTTTCATATAAAATAAACTTGCAGCCAGTGCCAGTATTCATTTTCTATGTCCATTTCATATTCTTGTTTATAAATTCTTAGTTGATTTCTTACAGAATTTTGATCTATGGGCGGGCTCAGGTTTTGAACATGGAATGAGAAAGAACAGGACATGTCAACCTGAATAATCGAGTGTAAGCAAAACTGAATTGGCTTAACCTAGGCCCAGCCCAACTTGGTCATTGAAGTTTGCTCAAACATTTCATCGAGTACAGTACCAATTCACTCTTCCGTCCTTCGTCACCATGATGGAATAAAACCACCATTGCAGTTGCCGCCGTTTGCAAAGCACAGCCAGTGAGTTCTCGTTTTCTTATCTCCCCTGCTTTCTTGCACCGTATAGAGGTGTACAGTGCCATTTACTAGAATGGTCTGGCAGCGCATGTGCACCTAGAACTCATGAAGAGTATTTTAATATGAAGCACGCGCAAACTAGAAATTTCATCGAAAGAAGCAATGAATTATCTAAAACAAATGTTTGATGAGTGGAGAGCGCAGCAAGGTGATTTTTCTTGGATGTTATTGCCTTAATCCACAAACATTTATGTTGCTATGACTGGTGCTCATTCTTTAACTTTGATTTGTATCTGTACCATACTGTTGCTTGATTATATGCTCTTGCAACTCAATATCACTGCTATTTTGGACATTAACACTACTGCAGAAGCTAATGCTTGATTTGAAATGAGTGTTCTAATGTTCTGATATACTCTCTGTTGGGAGCTATTGTTTGTATGTTGTATACTTTTCTCAATATTATTATGAACTTTCTAGTGATTTACTCTGAATTCTTACCATGTTTACTGTCAACTTCAGAAAAAGATCTACTGAGGAACTTGGATGCGAAAATACAAAGAAAAACGGGAAGCTACTGGCATCAGATTAGTATTTCAGCTGGGGCAGTTTTGCCTGTTGCTAGCATCAGGTCTGTGCATCTGTATGTATAATATTTCATATATGTGATAAGTGAATGTTTGGTTGTTCTCGTTGTTGCTGGTAATGTTCTTGTCTCCAAAATAGTCCACCTGAACTTGGCTGATGGAGCAAAAAGAAGTGAATTGCTGCAGAGTGGACACTGCAGTTTGCCAAATGAATGGGGTGTAGCTGACAGCGAGCTTTTTCAAAAGCAAATCCTGGTCTTCAGCAGTTTGTGAATTTTCTCCGCAGCTTGTTAGATGTTAGGGAGCTTCTTAAAAGCAAAATATAGTCTTTAATGAATTGAGTGGAATTCTTCTTTTTTATACTTGAACTCTCCAAACTCTCTTCATGTCCGTGTAACTTAATTTGTATCCTGTTCTTTAATGGCAGAAAAGTAGAAGGTAAGCCTAGAACGAACAAATTCCATTTGCTGATGGCTTTAGTAATTCCCTTGCTTCTTTAAATGACAGGATCCATGACCATGAATATAGATTTGCGTGGCACATTTTAGAGCATCTATGCCAAAGACAAGCAGCTGATGTTCCTTGTAATGCGAGTAGAGCTCATGCATGGTTCACGATTTTCAACAATTAACTAAGGGTAAATTTTATTTATTTTTCTTTTTTTATAACTCTCACATCCAAGATTTCTAGTAAAATTAGTCTGTCAATAGGTCAGGTGCCCTGATCAGCACTGAGTAGTCCCAGTAAATAGCTTTGAAAGAAAGCAAGAGGGGCAGCTCTGCGTTACTGCGTTCGAAAGACGTCCGACTCCATATAAAAGGGTGCGACTGGCAGCAGACGGAGGAGTATTCCTATTAGCCTTCAACTAAATTCTTCAGAGATAGAAGAGCGAATCGACAACAATAACAATGGTGGTGTTGAATGCTAATAATTCTTCTCCAGGTTTCTCTTCCCTAATTCCCTTTCTTTAATTTTTTTTTCCCTCAGTTATTTCAATTTCAAATCTTACATACCCTGACTTTAACCGATTGACCTAATAGTTAAAATATATATAGCCTCTAATTCCACCATCCATTCCATCACCATTCCTTCCATAGTTTTTTTTTCCTTGTTTATACTGCAGGGAGTATTAAATAGTTTTGTCTTAATAATTAATTTCAATTTTGTTTCTTTTCTTATTCTTAATTAATTAATTAATTAATTTTTCTTCAATTATTTGTTTTTTAGACTATTATAATCATAGATTTGCACCCTATGGTATTATGACATTAATCTCTTTATTACTATTAATTTGTTTTTTAATTATAATTTTTTTTATTTTTTTGCAAGGCGTAATCAAGCAACACGTCCTGTATGGTTCTATGCTAACAATCCATCTGCTCCATCTTCACCGATATCCACCTGTTTATTTGCCTCATCGACCAAGACTTCTACTGCATCTAGCTTATCCGAGACCAAAACTGCACCTTCCACTGCCTCCAATGTGTTCAATGGCATTCCTTTTCATTGTCAGCATACCCTGGCACATTCTACTACTTCCACCATTGTCAATGGCACTCCGTTTCATTTTCAACACACCCCGGCACCTTCCACCACCTCTGCCAAGGCCCATGCCTTTCATTTCCCACCTATCACTACCTCACCATCAAGTCCTCTGTTTGGCATGAACAACCCCACACCAGCATCATTCCCAGCTACAACAGTCTCACCATCAAGCAGTCTGTTTGGCGTAACCAACCCCACTCCCGCATCTTTGCCAGCCGTAGTTTCACCAACGAGCAGTCTGTTTGGCTTAACCACCCCCACTCCAGCATCGTTCTCAGCTACCACAGCGTCACCGTCGAACAGTCTCTTTGGCAGAACCAACTCCATTCCCGCATCTTTCCCAGCTACCATAGCCTCACCATCGAGCAGTCTCTTTGGCGGAACCAGCTCCACTCCGCATCTTTCCCAACTACCGCAGTTTTACCATTGAGCAGTCTCTTTGGCGTAACCAACCCCACACCAGCATTGTTCCCAGCTACCACAGCCTCACTGTCGAGTAGTCTCTTTGGCGGAACCAACTCCAGTACTCCGGCACCTTTCCTAGCTACCACAGTTTCATTATCTGACAGTGTTTGGCATAACCAAACCCACTCCAGTATCATTCCCAGCTACCACAGCCTCACCGTGGAGCCCCTTTTTTGGCGTAACCAACCACACACTAAAATCTTTCCTAGCTACCACAATCTCACTATCGAGCAGTCTGTTTGGCGTAACTAACCCCACTCCACCATTGTTCCCAGCTACCATAGCCTCACTGTCGAGCAGTCTGTTTGGAAATGTGCAATCTGAACCTGTTTCTTCAAGCACATTCGCTTCTCGTATTGATAAAACTTACACCAGCACATAGGCACCTTCATCTACTTCACCACTCTTCTGCAGCCCTGCTCCTAAGTTTGGAGATGGCTTACTGCATTTTTCCAATTCTGCAAATGCCTTCTCCACTATTTCACCTGCGCCCGTACCACTTTTCAACCACTCCAGTAAACAATTTCTCAAATTTTCCGGCCGCAACCCAAAGACTTGGACCTGTTCCATGTGCTCCTTCAACTATGTTCGGTAAGCTTTTTATTCCTTTCTTTCTTTCAGTTGGTTTTTCCCCATATGTTAATTGATCACCTGAATGAAATTCCGTGGTGCATGGATCCACGATTGTGCAGGAGGACAGACAAGAATGCCTCCACTACATGTTTGCCCATGTTGTGGGCATAAATCATTGTGCGAACAGCATTCCGGAAGTTGCTTAGCACCCTTCTCTCAAGCACCAGATTCAGGGTCGTCTGACTTTCTCGTCTCAGTATCAGCCTCGCCTATCTATGAAGACAAAAGCTATGCAGAATTAAGATTCGAGGATTACAAATTGCAAGGTGCATAATTTGGCAGTTATTCTAGTTCAATTTCTGATTTCATGGACATGTATTTGACTAAACTGAGAGGAAAAAGAGGGAATTGATTTCTGATTTTTAATAAAGGAAATCCTAGGTGGGTTAGACGGGCGTTTGATTTTCTTAGTTCAGTTTTATTCCAAGTTGGTAAACTATTCTTTCTTCGGATTCCAATTCATATATATCTTCAGGCAAGGCCAAAAATGGGCAGCAAAAGAGTGTCAAGCAAGATGCAGAATCAGCTAAGTTGGGTGAGGCACCATGGGCTCTTCCAGTTTTACTACTTCCAGCGATGCCCTTCTTCAATTTTAGTGGTTCTAGTGCCACCCCGGCTGGAACTCAAGGTGGAGGATCATCACTTGCTTCAGATTATGGACTGACAGCACCCTTTATGAATGGTCCTTCTTTTGCACAAAGTTCTTTTGTGCCTGCTTCTATCCTGTCCATTATACCAGGGGTTCTTCCACTCTCTGAGATGTTTCGTCGACTAAGAGTAAGCAAGCAAGCATCCTTAAGACTAGTTGTCAAATAGTAGAACGTAACGAGTAGAATTCTTCTTTTTTATATTCTCTCCAAACTCTCTTCAAGGTCGTGCAACTTCGTATATCTCAGCCTTAGATGTTCAGGATGGTTATCAAATTCAATGTGTTTGGCTATTCATAAAGAGCCCAGTGATAAGTGGGGAAAAGGAATTCTCTCTAATCATGCCAATGTGAAACTTCTAATTTTTGTAAACACAAAATCGAAATGGAAATAGTTTGATGAATGCTGCATTGTTTATAGAGGTACTGGAGTGAATATGCTTGCTGATTGAATAAGAGCACTAAAGAAAGCAAGAAATCAGCTTTTTGGCTGAATCAATGTGCTGGCTTCTGTTCAATGCTTCTTTAGATTGACTTGGAATTGCTTGAGAAGACACGAGTTCCCTTCCAATCTTCAGTTAAAAATGTAACTTTTTGATCTCTTTTTCTGTATTAATATGCAAAAAAAATATATATATATATATGAAAATTCTAACACTTGTCAGGAAGCCTGTCAAGATATTTTTTTCTGGGCCATAAGACAGCACCCCATTTCTGCTCTGTATCGTTAATATTTTATTTGCAAGTTGGATATCACCCAATGGACAATGAACTCTGCGACATGACATCGGGAAGCCAATCAATATTCTGACAAGATACTGAACTAATAAATTGTTTTTCCATCTGGAGTGTCACAGAGTATGTTATCCTAGTTCTTAGAAAGGAATGAAAAATCTACCAACAATGAGACAGATAAAACATGTTCTGACACTCGATAATGATAAAGTCCCTGGTTCTGAAATTCAAATCAAAGTCCCAGCCCACGGCATTACAATATTCTGCAATATTTGCTCATTCACTGACCGCATGCAAACAATGGCAACAATTGTAGCAGAAATATCCTCCAGTCTTTTCTTTCATGCTCCCTCTCTCTTGCCCCTCATTCTTCTCATTGACAAGCAGCTCAAAACACTAAATATATTCATCAAAATCTGCACCAATACCACCAGAGCCATACTCATAGCCTATCCAATCTTGCCAAGTGGTTTTTGTTTTTCTTTCCTTTTATTCTACAAGTATCTTCGGGCTAATTTAAAAATTTTTCTGTTGAATGAAATGGAGAAGCCAATTATGAGTTTAAGTTTTTGCGCACGGTTTGCCAAACCAAGCTTTTTTCTCAAATTGCTTTTAATTTAAAAAGAAAAAAGAAAAAAGAAAAAAAGAAAAGCTGTTCCATATTAATTTTCTGCATGATACCTACGTATATTACTTTTTTTAATAGGTTACGCGATTCATGACCTAATGCATGGAATCTATTGCGTCTAGGAATGATGAGATTCGAAACAAAACACGTTCCATGGTCAGAACAAAATATAGCCTAGTAAGGTCTAGAAGAGTCAACTTGTTTTCCAAGGTTTTAAAATTGGAAAGAATCTCACATTCTTTCGTCGTACCTGCGCCATCAACAACCCATCCAAAAAATATTGTTTATTTACGAGCAATTGAATATTTTTAAAATTAATTTTTATATCAATTGAGATTAAATTTATTAATATTAAATTATGTTTTATTCCATAAAAAAGAAAGCAAGCAATTTTAAAAAACATGAGAATCAACTTTATAATATGATGAATTAGAATCACTCGATCCACACACACATATATATATATAACTTTCACTTTATGTAAAATATTAATTATGCGAATTAATTGCTAATTAGAGTTATAATACAGAGAGTGGAGGGCATTCTCTTGTAACCCCTCCGAGGATTTTATGCCTTTGTTTTTTTGCTGATCTTGTAGGGGTGTATCTACCCCGAATGAGAAGCAATGTCTCTTAGTTTGGGCGTTTGTCTCCTTTTTTTCATTAAAAAAAAAAAAGAACAATCCCTTCATTTGTATAAGATTTACTAATTTTATTTATTTTGAAATAATTTTTCATTAAAAATATTGAATAAATAAAAAAGAAAAAGAAAAGAAAGCAAAACAGATGTATGACTCATCATTTACAACTTAAACAATGCAAATGAATGTCAACCAAATCATTTAAGAATCAAGAGATAGAAAGTCTTCTTCTTCTCCCTCTCTTGTTTTAAGAAGAGATCTGTAAATTGAGATAAAAAAAAAAAAAAAAAACCGTTCTTAAAGGTAGAAAACTGTCGGTGTCTCGCTCTTACACGAGAGAGCTGTCGGTGACTATTTCTATTATATTATTTATTATTTATTATGATATTGTTAAATTCATCATGTGTTTTTGTTATTCATATTAAATTTTTATTTTAAATTATTAATAAATTTTTATATTTAATTACTATTTAGTTACTAACTTGATGTATGGTGATGTGTTTATAACTTACAATAAAAAAATTTAATAAAAATAATAAAATATTTGATAGATTTAATAATACTCTATTCATTATTGCATGAAAGTAACACAATGATAAACTCCTACAAGTAAATTATAAATTAATCTTTTTAATTTTAAAAAATAAATAAATTTATTTTTTATTTTAAAAATTAAAAATTTAATTTACTTGATCAGCATGATTATATTTAATTTAATATTATTACTACTAGCATGAAAGTTTAATTTCAAAAAAGTCGTAACAGTAAGAGAAAACAACAAAATAAAATTTAAAAGAAGAGAGAGAAAAGTTGAAAAGCAGGGGAGAGGGAGAGAAGCAGGGGAGAAAAGTAGAAAAGCAGGGGAGAGGGAGAAAGAAGTAGAGGAGAAAAGTAGGAGAGAGAGAGAAAGTAGAAAAGCAGGAGAAGAGAGCCTTTCAACAACAGCTCGAATCTCCCTCCAGCTCATTCAGGGTTTTGATAACACATGTTACCCTTTCTTGCTTGCTTCCGTTAGCTTGGCTAGAGAGAGATTGGAATTTTGACCAAAATGAGGATTTTGAGACCGAAAAATAATACTGCATTATGTGATAATGAAAGGATGGATGCCTGTTATTCGAGTTTTCTATCAGTATCAAGAAGGAAACAAAACAAACACTAGCAGAATAAAATAATAAATTAAGCAAAAGACTATTTTTTATTATTTTTACATTACAAGAATTAATTAATTTTTTTTCCTAAAAACTTAGGGACTAAGTTACAATTAACTAAAAAAAAGTAGGAATAAGTCTAGTCTCGTGATCAGCACTCATCAGTCCCAGTAAATAGCTTCGAAAGAAAGCAGAGAGTGGCAGGGGCGGTTACCCCGCGAACGAAAGACGTCCGACTCCGATATTTAAAAGGGTGCGACTGGGAGGAGATTAAGGAGTATTCCCACTAGCCTTCAACTAAATTCATCACAGATAGAAGAGTGAATCAACAACAATGGCGTTGAATACTGATAATTCTTCTCCAGGTATCTTCTTCCCTAATTCCCTTCCTTTAATTTATTTTCTCTCTCTGTTGTTTCATTTTCAAATCTTATATACCCTAATTTTAACGGATAGTGAAGAAGATGTATTCCCTTCATCGAATATATATATATATATTGCTTCTAGTTCCCTAATTTCATCATCATTCATTCTATCACCAAATTCCTTCCATCAATTTTCTTTTTTCTTTTTTTCCTGTTTATGCTCGACAGAGTATTAGTTAATTTTCTCTCAATAATTAATTTCAGTTTTTGTTTCTCTTCATATTCTTAATTAATTAATCGTTATTCAATTTTTTTTTACAATATTCTAATCATAGATATGTACCCTATGGTACTATAACATTAATCTCTTTATTATTATTAATTTGAAGAAACAAAAACACTAACTTCTGTTTATATATATATATATATATATATATATTCTAATCATAGATATGTACCCTATGGTACTATAACATTAATCTCTTTATTATTATTAATTTGAAGAAACAAAAACACTAACTTCTGTTTATATATATATATATATATATATATATATATATATATATATATATATATATATCATTTTACTTTTTTATTTTATTTTTCTCAGGTAGTAATGAAGCAGCACGTCCTATATCGTTCTCTGCTAGCAACCCGTCTGCTCCATCTTCGGCTAATCAATCTGCCTTTTCATTTGGTTCTTCACCGATATCCACCTCTTTATTTGCCTCATCGATCAATACTTCTCCTGCATCTGGCTTTCCCGAGACCAATACTGCACCTTCCACTACCTCAAATGTTTTCAATTGCAATCCTTTTCGTTGTCAGAATACCCCGGCACCTTCCTCCACCTCCGCCAATGCTAATGCCAATGCCAAATATGCCTTTCATTTCCCACCGACCACTGCCTCACCATCAAGTCCTCTGTTTGGCATAACCAACCCCACACCAGCATCTTTCCCAGCTACGACAATGTCACCATCTAGCAGTCTCTTTGGCTTAACCAACCCCGCTCCAGCATCGTTCCTAGCTACCACAACCTCACCGTCGAGCAGTGTCTTTGGTGTAACCAAACCCGCTCCAGGATTTTTCCCAGCTACCACAGCCTCGACGTCGAGCAGTCTCTTTGGCGGAACCAACTCTACTCCTGCATCTTTCCCAACTACCACAGTTTCAACATCAAGCAGTCTGTTTGGGCTAACCAACCCCACTCCAGCATCTTTCCCAGCTACCACAGCCTCACCGTTGAGTAGTCTCTTTGGCATAACCAACCCCACTCCAGCATCGTTCCCAGCTACCACAGCCTCACCATGGAGCAGTCTGTTTGGCGGAACCAACCCCAATCCATCATCGTTCCCAGCTACCACAGCCTCAATGTCGAGCAGTCTCTTTCGTGGAACCAACTCCACTCCCGCATCTTTTCAATTGACCGCAGTTTCACCATCGAGCAGTGTGTTTGGTGTAACCAACCCCAATCCAGCATCATTCCTAGCTACCACAGTCTCACCATTGGGCAGTCTGTTTGGCGTTACTAACCCCCCTCCAGCATTGTTCCTAGCTATCACAACCTTACCATGGAGCAGTCTCTTTGGAAATGTGCAATCTGAACCTGCTTCTTCAAGCACATTCACTTCTAGTATTGATAACATTGACACCAGAACACAAGCACCTTCATTTACTGCACCACTCGTCTGCAGCCCTGCTCCTAAGTTTGGGGATGGCTTCCTTCATTTTTCCAAGTCTGCAAATGCCTTCTCCAGATATTCTCCTGCGCCTGCACCACTTATCAATCACTCAACCACTCCAGTAAACAATTTCTCTAATTTTCCGGCCTCAACCCAAAGACTTGGACCTGTTCCATGTGCTCCTTCAACTATGTTTGGTAAGGTTTTTATTCCTTTCTTTCTTTCAGTTGGTTTTTCCCCATATGTTAATTGATCACCTGAATGAAATTCTGTGGTGCATGGATCCACGATTGTGCAGGAGGACAGACAAGAATGCCTTCACTGCATGTTTGCCCATGTTGTGGCCATAAATCATTGTGCGAACAGCATTCCGGAAGTTGCTTAGGACCCTACTCTCAAACACGTGAGGCAGGGTCTAATGAGTTCCTCGTCTCAATATCAGCCTCCCCTGTATATGAAAACAAAAGCCATGAAGAATTAAGGTTGGAGGATTACAAATTGCAAGGTGCATAATTTGGCAGTTATTCCAGTTCAATTTCTGATTTCATGAACATGTATTTGACGGGGAAAAAAGAGAATTGATTTCTTATTTTTAATAAAGGATATCCTAGTCCGGGTTAGATTGGTGTTCTATTTTCTTACTCCAGTTTTATTCCAAGTTGGTAAATTATTCTTTCTTTGGATTCTAAATCATATATGTCTTCAGGAAAGACCAAAAATGTGCGGCAAAAGCGTTTCATGCAAAATGCCGAATCAGCTGAGTTGGGTCAGGCACCATGGGCTCTTCCAGTTTTACTACTTCCAGCGATGCCGTTCTTCAATTTTAGTGGTTCTAGTGCCACCCCAGCTGGAACTCAAGCTGGAGGATCATCACTTGCTTCAGATTATGGACCGACAGCAACCTTTATGAATAGTCCAGCTTTTGGACAAAGTTCCTCTGTGCCTGCTTCTATCCTGCCCATTATACCAGGGGTTCTTCCACTGTGTGAGATGTTTCATCGACAATAAGCAAGCTAGCAAGTATCCTTCAGACTAGTTGTCAAATAGTAGAATGTAAAGAGTAGAATTCTTCTTTTTTATATTCTCTCCGAACTCTCTTCAAGGTCGTGCAACTTCGTATATGGCAGCCTTAGATGTTCAGGATGATTATCAAATTAAATGTGTTTGGCTATTCATAGAGAACTCAGTGATAAGCGGGGAAAATTAATTCGCTCTAATCATGCCATTTTGAAACTTATGATTTTCGTAAACACAAAATCGAAATGGAAATAATTTAATGAATGCTGCATTGTGTATAGAGATATTGGAGTGAATGTGCTTGCTGATTGAATTAAGAACACTAAACAAAGCAAGAAATCAGCTTTTTGGCTAAATCAATGTGCTGGATTTCGTTCGATGCTTCTTTAGATTGACTTGGAATTGCATGATAAGATACAAGTTTCCTTCGGATCGTCAATTTAAAATGTAAATTTTGATCTCTTTTTCTGTATAAATATTTGTTATTAAAAAAAAAAAAAAAATCCAAACACTTATCAGGAAGCCTGTCAACCAACCAAGATATTTCATCTGGGCCATGAGACAGCACCCCTTGACTGCTTTATATCGTTCATATTTTCTCTGCAAGTTGCATGTCACCCAATGGAGAATGAACTCTGCGACATGACAGCAGAAGCCCATCAATTCTGCTACTGCTACTGCTACATTGATTTCATTTATTTTTTAGCAGGATACTGACCTAATAAATTGTTTTTCCATCTGGAGTGACAGAGTATGTTATCCTAGTTCTTAGAAAGCAACCTATAATCTACCAACAGTATTTGAGGCTGATAAAAACACGATCTGACACTCGATAACGATAATGTCCCTGGTTTTGAAATTGAAATTAAAGTCCCACAGCCCACGGCATTACAACATTTACTCAGCAATATTTGCTCATTCACAGACCGCATGCAAACAATGGCAACAATTGTAGCAGAAATATCCTCCTGTCTTTTCTTTCGTACTCCCTTTTTCTTGCCCCTCATCCTTCTCATTGCCAAGCAGCTCAAAACACTATATATATTCATCAAAGTCTGCATCACTACCACCAGGGCCATACTCATACCCTATCCAATCTTGCCAAAATCTATGGTCTACCCTTCTCATTGCCACGTGGTTATTGTTTTTCTTTCTTTTTATTCTACAAGTATCTTCGGGCTAATTTAAAAATTCATCTCTTGAATGAATTGGAGAAGTCGACTATGAATTTCAGTTTTTGCGCACGGTTTGCCAAACCAAGCTTTTCTCAAATTGCTTTTAATTGAAAAAAAAAAAAACAAAAAAAGAAAAAAAGAAAAGCTGTTCCATATTAATTATCTGCATGATACCTACGTATATTACTATTTCTTTAATGGGTTACGTGATTCATGATGACCAAATGCATGGAATCTATTGCGTTTAGGAATGATGAGACAAAACATGTTCCATAGTCAAAACAAAATATAGCCTAGTAAGGTTTAGAAGAGTCAACTTGTTTTTCAAGGTTTTAAAATTGGAAAGAATCTCACATTCATCTTACTTTCATCATCTATAACTCATCAAAAACATATAGTTTATTTACAAATAATTAAGTATTTTTACAGTTAATTTTTACATCAATCGATATTAAATCTATTAATATTAGATTATATTTAGTTTCATATAAAAAATAATAAAAAGGAAAAACAATTTTTTAAGAGTAAGAATCAAATTTATGACTTGGTGAGTTAGAGACTCTTCTTATTATTTCAAGATAAATTTATCACACTTTATGTAAAATAACAATTGTGCGAATTGATTGCTAATTAGAGTAATACTATAGAGAGTGGAGGGCATTTTCTTGTAAACCCTGCGAGGATTTTATGCCTTTGTTTTCTTGCTGATCTTATAGGGGTGCATCTACCCCGAATGAGAAGTAATGTCTCTTAGTTTGGGCGTTTGTCTCGTTTTTTTCATTTGAAAAAAAAAAAAAAAAAAAGGGGAGCAATCCCTCCATTTGTATAAGATTTGCTAATTTTATTTATTTTGAAATAATTTTCCATTTATGTATCACCGTACATAAAACAAAAATAATTTCTATTTAGTGTTGAGAAAAATTGCCTTATGTTATCTATATATAAATACTACGTCAAAAAATTATCTTAATTCAAAAAGTTTAAACCGTTAGATAAGACTTCTTAAATGATTTTATATTACTCCCTAACAAACTCACATCCCATTCAAAACATGATTGCATCTGTGTTCTGGAATCACAGACCATTTTACTCAGTGACTGGGCACACCGTCTCACACAATCAACAGAAAATCTATGGACCTATATTGACCATAGCACTTCCAACATGAACACATGCTATTTGTACTTGGCAGATGGAAAAAAAAAAAGATGGAGAATTGCTGCAGAGTAGCCATTGCAATTTGCCAAATGATTTGGATGAAGCTGATTATAAGGAGGTTTCTGAGAATCTGAGAGAAAATTCTGGTCTTCAGTATTTTGTAAATTTTCACAGCAGCTTGTTGATTAGACGTATTAGTCTGAGCTTTCTGAGAATCTGAAAGAAAATTCTGGCCTTCAGTGTTTTGAAAATTTTCGCAGCAGCTTGTTAATTAGACGTATTAGTCTGAGCTTGTTGAGCCTAAAACAAAATAATTTTCAGACATAATTTGTATGGTATTTTGCAGACATCTTTTAAGAATCTATGCCAAAGAAAAGCCGCTGATGAGGTTACTGGTCAGGCTGATGATTTATGAAATGGGCATGGTAGCCTTGGATGTTCAGGATGATTAATGGGTGAAATTGAACAAAATGGGATCATACATGGCATTAATTGAATAAATTTTTGACGAATAGGAAACTTATAAATAATTGATATAAAATTATTAACGGGTTGACCTGGTTGTCAAAGAGATCTACTCTTTTTTTTCGGTTTCAATCTAAGAATTTTTTTTATAGTATGGTACGGTAAAGTAAATTATAAATTAGTCCTGTTTTGAGAAATGAATTAATTAATCCTCCTAGTTTCAAAACCCAATCATTTAGTCCATTTTGCCCTTTTTTTTAAAAAAAAAAAAATTGTTTTAAGAAATAGAAAAGAAAAAAAAATTATTATCACCATCAGTTGTGATGTTAAACCAGAGCTATGGATTTCAGAGGACGCAATAATTAGTTCATATCCTTTGGTGCTGGCAGAAGGGCACGACATGGTCAACCCATTTCTACCAAGCATGTTCCATTGCTTCTTGCTTCCTTGCTCCATTGCTTTGATTGGTCTCTTCCTTGTGGAAATGACCCAAAAATACATGGATATGACTCATAAGTTTCACCCCAGTTTGCAGAAGGAACATCCCCTACTTCTCGCTCCAAAAATAATAGTTCTGGTGTTAATAGGCAGCTTTAACTGTACCATGAGCATGAATATTAACATGCAGTTTCTCCGATGCCTTCGTTGGAAGAGCAGGCTCGAAGTCTCACTATAACACATGTAAGCTGCCTTACTTGTCTCCGAGCCCAACCTATTGACGTACTGATTTGGGGCAGGACACAGAAGCCCAATGGAGTAATCTGTACAGGAACCAAAACCAAGTTTCATTTGCCTATGGTAACAAAGTGCTGCAGGATGGAGACACCAATGTTTATCCAAAAACTCACATCAAGTTTCTTAACAAGGATGCATCTGTGTTTTGGAATCACAGTTCGGAATAAGTGAAAAAGGCTACTGTCAGTATGCACATATAAATCTGCTAATAATGATCGGAGTGCCACCCTTTCGCACAATCAACAGAAAGGATTAAAACACACTAAAAAGTCATCATCTTGAGAACTCAGAATAAAGAGTTCGGGTGGTAGTAGGATATGTAGCTACATTAACCAAAATACTACCAACATGCACAATTGCGACTTTTAGCTTAGTTACACTGCCAATGATGTTTACAAATCCTCAGCAATATTGGTGTTTATTCCGTGTGATCTTCATTTGATGATGATCCAGTGGGCTGACAAAGAAAAGAAAAGAAGGAAAAAAAGAAAGAAAGAAAACCTCGAGATTACCAATAAATCGATATAATCATCACTGTAAGCATAACGTAGGCATGGAAGAGATGAAGGAAGGAATTACCTTTATCTTCATTGAGAGGCTTTAACCTCTCTAGCTCCTTCATCTGCAGGCCCATTGTTTGATGCATCTTCTGAAGCATCTAAGCAAGGATTGCTTTTACACTGACTCACAGGCTGGGCATGGGTCAAGATGCTAGAAAGTTTAGAACTCTGTTGAGAGAAGTTCGGTTTACTTTTTGGAGTCTCGGGCAAGCTTCCCATTGACAGTTTTGTAATGCCTGCTGTCTTGGGCTCACACGAGAGCTTAGTTGAAACAGGTGATTCAGGTGTATCACGATGCTTCCCAGAGAAATCCATAGGTCCGTGAAACAGCAAATGCACTACAGTCCGATCTATGGGGTTGGTCTCTGTTTCCACTTCAGGCATCTTAACCATCCTGCAGTAGACCATAACACCCATGAGGAAAATGACAGCAAGTTTGAGTTTGTCATACTCAAAACAAATTGATGAATACTTGAATAATTATCTCGTGCAAACAACATGAAAATTTAACTTGGGAAGGATGATGTAAAGAACAAACACTTTGGAACGAGAGACAACATTATTCAAACAACACAAATTCAAGCGTTTAATATCAGAACAAATAATGGTTTTGGTTGGATGTGAGGCCAATTTAGACATAGAAGAACCGGTTAGCAGATCTTTGGGTGCAAATATTGTTTTCCTTTTATTTGTCCTTCACTAAACTTATTACACTTGTTGAGCAATCTCTCTCTCTTTCTCTCTCTCTCTCTCTCTAGAAGTTAAATCTAGCAATTTTCTCTAGAATGTTGTGCCACTCATTTAGACTTGGGTGTCTGTGTTTACCTTTTCCTTTAGGATACATACAATACTAACTTTAAAAAAGAAGATGCCATGTAGTTAAGGCTGACTAGGATTTTGCATAAGTAAGTGGCACAACACTCTGGAGAAAATTGCTAGATTTAACTTCTAGAGATAGAGAGAGAGAGATTGTTCAGAAAGTGTAATAAGTTAAATCAAAGACAAATGGATCCTATTTCAATGGGAACTTCATGAGTTGATCCACCTTCATGTCTTGCTCTTACTGCTATACCGGGAGTTACTCCGCATATAGCTTGAATAAAACAGATATTGGATTTGTTTGTCTTTTGTTGAATCTTTTTCATGGCTCGATATAGAATTTGAATTTGCACCCAGAGCTGGTGATTATGTACAAATTCACTGGAATCAACAAAGTAGAAAACTTGTATAGGATTAGTTAATCATGGAAAATTAAATTTTCTTTTCTAATTTAATGAAATTCTCTACCAAATATTATTTCAATTTTCACCTAATGACTACGTACTGCACTCCGCTCATGAATGCTGCAATGGATGAAGATACTAATTTTAGTTTAATATCTGCCCCTACCAGGATTTGGCCTGCAATACCAAAGCTTCTCTCAACTAAATCAACACCTGGTGACCAGGACTCACAACCATATCACAAGCAATGGAGGCAAACTACCACATTTGATCAACAACGTCAATATTTCCCCATACCGAGGTCTGGCCTGCAATACCAAAGCTTCTCTAAACTAAATCAAGACACGATGACCAGGACTCGCAACCATAAAACAACCAATGGAAGCAACTACTACTAATTTGACCAACAAGGTCAAATTCAATCAAGTTCATAATGAAATTCTGTGAAAGAGGAACCTGTAATGTTCTGTGTAGATTTTCTTCCACTTAGAAAAATCATGGTCTAAGTTAAATTGTTTCGGTTACTATTTCCTTAATTGTAAATAGTGGAAAAGCACTTTCAATATTTGTTTCTAACATGAGAATGGCAAGCAGAAAATAGTGATGGCATTAAAAGATCCTATTTTAACTTTTCATAGAGCAAAAATGTAAAACAGGATAGATTAAATTTGAAAGCAGAAGCATGAGAACTACATTGCCTTAACCAACCTGCTATGACTACTGGTTTCCTCTTTCAGAGCAACTTGTTCATCCCTGTTAGTATTGTTTGTACTGCTAGTATCACTAGCATAATGCCGGTGCATTGCACTTTGAGACAACCGGAACAAGCTATCCCGAATACAGAGTCTAATTCTGGCATCCAACTGCTGTAAAACATTGGTTTGGAATTGTAACTAAGTCCAAATTACTCTAGCAGGAAAAGAGTCCACTTGTAAGTGAAGCATACCTTTGAAATAATATCTTGAAGCCTGTAGAGTATTGCGTCCTTCGTTGAATAGCCATTAACTGCCAGAGAGATTGTATTGGAATCATCTTGCTCGATGGGCGAGTTTGGGTCGAATGAAGCAAGAGTACTTAGATCATCTACTTCTAGGTCAGCTCCTTCAACAAGCGGAACTTGATTTTCTTGGGAACACTTTTGATGAACAAGCTGCTGCTGCTGTTTCTGAATGGCAAGCATTGCCTGAATTTGTTGCCGCCTCCTTAATTTTTCAATTTTTTCTTGAGGTGTCATTCTCTGGGGTTTCACCGGACAGTCAGCTGGCTTGTTTATAGGATTTGCATTGCCTGAAGAAACTTCATAACCAGAAACATTAGGTTGATAATTAAATAACTAGAAATTTTGTTGGAAAGTCAGAAAAATTTATCACAGGATTTGCAATACCTGAAGAAACTTCATAACCAGAAGCTAAAGGCTGATGCTTAAATTCACCAGACTGAATGTGAGACAACACAGGCATGGAGTATGGATTTGTAAGACTCTCGTATGCAGAAGGGGGAACAAATGGATTGGATATCTGCTGGTACTGCAACTGCTCAGGTCCCTGTAGCTGCTTGTGTTGGCTGAGAATTGAAGGGGGAGAAGATTGCATAATTTGGGGTGCAGACTGATTCGTAAGTTGACTGGCTTGGATTCCAGATGAAGTCCAGTTTCCATAAAAATCTTGGTAGGATTTCAGTTCACCTCTTTCTTCCAGCTTTTTTCGACCTTTCAAGAGTTTCTTTTGCCTGTAAGCCTGTTCAAAAAACAATAAACATATAAAAAGATGAATTACTAAGAATAGGTCAGCATTTTAACCATCTATGCCTGCAGGGGAGAGTGACTATGGCACAGTTAATATTTTAATTGAGCAAATAGTTTGTAAGGCTAAATTCTCCCTTATTTTTCTTTAACTGTAAAATTTTGACAAAACAGATATATGAACATGACAAATCAACAACCTAACGCAATTACCCCCTTGCAATGTGGGTAATCCTTAAAATCATCCAACTTGTAGAGAAAATTCAAAGCACATCACAACTTATGTTCCAAAGGGCTACTATTGTTCAGACTAGATTGATGTATTAGCTAAATTATGTCAACTGCCAAGCAAACAAAATTTACACGTCCCAGGAAAGATTAGCGAATTTCATGCTTGAAATATAAATTACTGATCATCCAGGGGAGAACATGACTAACTGAAATAAATGCCCCTCGAATTTTCACATACTACTCCTTTCTGCTTTCTAGGTATCTTTTACCCTTCCCAGCTATAATTAGGTTTCCCTGTCCATGCATTCTAATTTAAGACCTAATATGTGGAAACCACACTCTTTCTCATCCTGGACACAAGAACTTAGCGCATTCAAAAGAGCAGAGCCGGATCCTAAGAACCCAGATTGTATTTTGTATTTATTGAGTCCAATATAAATCCTGAATGCAAAAAGCAAAATTCAGTAACATGTCTGGTTGAGTATCAAAATTTTGAAAATATCAAAAGGAAGAGAAAAACAGTACCTTGTTTGCTAATTCATTTGGCAGTGCATCATTTTCTGCTGTCAGCTGAGAGTTACTTGCTGTGTTGTTTCCCACAATGGCCAAATCTGCCTGCAAAACCAAATAATAAAAAAAAAAATACTAAGCTTCTCTCAGCTTCTGCACTTGAGCAAGATGCATGAACAAGCTAAATCATCACTGAAAATTGAATCACTGTACCTGCTCCTTAAGTATAGGCTTAGTTTTGCCTCCATCATATTCTGCATGATCAAGGCTTGCCTGTGTATCCTGCAGACAATAAGATGCAGGATCATTCATTTTGCTATAGCCAGGGGTAAACAGCTCGTCATCTTCTTGTGCATAATCTTGTCTTGAAGCCACAGATATTGGAAAGGGCTTTGCTGGACTGTTAGTTGTATCTTTAGAAGAAGACCATAGCTCATCAGCATTACCAAGATTTACATTGCCAAATATTGGGTCATCATTGCTGCAAAATCACCAGTTGTGAGGATATTGAGTCAGATGGTTATCACTATTCTCCAAAAAAAATGAAGATTAAATATAGGAACAATGATGAAAGACAGGAATGCAGGAAAACCCTTCCAAAATCAGACAAGCTCACCAATTCCTTACAAATTCAGTCGTGCTATCATACATTCTTTCATTTATACTTGTAGTTGAGGATATTGCACAGCTAAAAATTGGCTTCCTTCAGTTTCTTTTCCGAATTAACAAAAATTAAGCAAAGGATAAAAAACCACAAATTTTCAAACATTCAAGCTTTGGCTAATGTTGCTTTCAGAGGATGAAACTCCTTAGGATAAAGATTTAGATCCAAAAACAGAAGAAACTACACTTTTTTAAGGAGTCTGGCTGTTTTATCCATCAAAGCACTCCTGTACTTCATGATTTTTTTTTTTTTTAAATGAAAATAGACGGTGAGCAAGAATATTTTGTTCATGAAACCGTCACTTCACATTCAGTAATAAGAGATTGTTCTATTTATCAGAAAAATATGAAATATGAACTTCCATATCAGGGTGTCGAAGACCATCTTTCATTGAGGTGCAGTAAGTAAGAAATGGCAACTGTGCTTTACCTAAAAATCCGATCAAGATCATCAAAGCTTCCAATGCTAGCCCAGCCATAATCAACAAAATCACCTTGTTCTTTATCTTCATGGGGATTTTGAAAAATCTCAGTGTCCTTATCAAGTTGAGCCATCTCTGCTGTAAGAAAATTTTGGCATTAAGAGGATAACAGTATGCAAGATGCTACTCATGCTAGTCATCACCCTCAACACCCTATTTACATTTTGTCTTAGTAATTGAAATCTCACTACCTGCTGAAGAATCAAGTTTGGTAATGTCAGTTAAATTGTTAGACATTGAAGTGTCCAAGGAATCCTGATCAGTTTTGGCATCATTAGATAACGACAAGTTAGGCCATCGGTCCATGTCAAGTACAGAGGCAGAAGTTCCTTCACTACTGTCAAAGTTTGAACTGCTCTCCACCTTTCTCCCATCAATATCAACTTTAGTCCCAGGTGCCTTCTGCACATTAGATTTAATGGTACCAGCTTCTTCACTTAATTCCCTCTTCTTGCAATAATCTTCACTTGCTTCTGGATAAGGCACGATATGGTCATCACTATCATCAGCCTCACCCCATATTATGTTTGTAAGCTGAAAAGATAGCCGGTAATTATCAATACAATATGTGGGATACATGACAAGTTAATCTCTGGCAACTTAGCAATACTATATTTTCAAACATAATATTTTAAATACATAATATTCTGAAGGAAAATAATTTATCAGTGTAATCTTCCTTGTATGCGCATATGGTGTGTGTTAGTGACCTAGCATTTCCTTTCAACTACCTCACCAAATAGGTCCCTTGTCAACATAATTCTGAATTTTGGATCCAACAAGAAGTAAATTTTCCAGTAGGCATGTATTGCACCTTTTTATCAATATCCATGGAAGACCAACCGAGCAATATTGAGATTTTTCTGCCAGTTTCAATATTTAAAAAAATGAAACTCAAATTGCGACAAGCTTTAAGAAGGAGGATATCACATTGCACCTCATCGATATCCACCAATAAATTTGCATTTTTTGTCAATTCCAAGCTAGTTTATAAGGAAAAGGAAGGGAAGTGCCTTCAAACATAGCTTCTTCAGAGCTTCTTTACATATTAATCAACACAAGTTTTGGAATCACCCACCACTAAGCACAGCTTCTCTTATCATCAGAAGCTCTATCTCTTCCCACATCCTAACTTCATCTGCTTCCTACATCCTAACTTCATCTGCTCAACTCTTCCTCAGTTCCCAAGCAAAATTAGATTCCTTCCTCCTCCACCCCTTCCCCACACGTTTTCCACCAACTTTATAGCAACATAACCCATTGATATTAACTCTCAAGTTCAAACACTTAAGAAACTCTTAACAGTTTGCTATTAAGACCTGCTTTTCTTATTATTTCTTCACTCTGTCAGTGTGCCACTTTCAAATAATACTAACGGATTCTTCCTCATCACAACCATCCACTTTTTTCCCTAACTCCCATACCACAACCACTCCTTAATGATAGCTCGATCCAATTTCCAAATGAATCACATCACTCTTCCTTTTGAACACTGCCAATTCCTAGTTCCTCCAAAACTTTAATCCGTTCAATAAAAGAACCACAAAAGTCATACTTTTTCAATTCAACACAGCTCTCCCCATAAGCAATCCTCCAACATGGCCATACTCTAAAACTAAGCCATAACCCTAATTATTAAAAAAAAAAAAAAATCATTTCTTTCTTCAAATCAGTCCTCAAAACTTCAAAATATAAGTAATTAAACATTTAAAACCAGAACAAAGAAATCTAAAAGCAACCCACAAATCCAACTCTCGAATCAACAGCATATTTCAAAAAACATATAAAAATAAAAAATAAAAAGAAAACATGGGTTAGTTACCTCTTCGTCGTTCCAATCAAACATAGCGAAAAAAAACCAGAACAGATCCCAAAACGAAAACCCAATTCACATATTATCTACTGTGTTATCTCACACATCGCCAATCCTTCAAAACCTTAACAAAAACAAAAAAAGAAAACCACAAGAAAACAAAACATTAACTTACGTTATCATAAAAGGCATCAAAACCCTCTAACCCAAAATAGCCAAAACAGAGCAAAAACATTACAAGCAAAGCAAGAAAACAAGAACCTTACAGTTGTCGAATCAGTAGACAAAAGAGTTTTCCAGAAACTGGTACAACAGTAAAAAAGAAAGGGAAAAGCCAAAGGCTGCTCCTGTTCACGTGAGATTCACGTGGTTTTGCTTGGCTAGTGGAGTGACACGTGTGACTTCGACAGTATCTAAATCTGTGGTTATAAGGTAAGGATAGATCTAATACTTGAATGTGATTGGCTAATGGGGTTGAGATTTTGGTTTTGAATTTCATTTGAGTTAAATTTCATGTGACTTTACGGAAATTTAGTGACGGATCTAAATTGTGGCTGTGGTTGCTTTACGGGCTGGTTTCGTGGTTCGGCTCGTGGGGACCATATTGACCAAGTGGTGTTTTTCGGATTAGCCACGTTTGTTGGATTATTAAAAAATTAAGAGGTTTAAGGGAGTGGATTATTTGCTAATTGAGTAATCATCATAGGATTAGGGTTTAAAGTAGGAGGTTAGGTTGTTGACTCTTACGGCCATTTTCATGTGTTTTGTTGTCAATATGCCCTTTGGTGTTGTTTGAATTTAGATTTCAAAGAAATGATTGCGAGATAGGGTCGGAGATGACATCGAAGATTAAAGTGGTTTTTCTATTTTTTTTTTTTATATATAAATTTCAACTTTGGAAATTTATTTTCTTGAGTGAATCAAATTAATATAAAATAAATCTTCAAAATACATTAAAAAAAGATTAAATTTAAATTGATGTGTAAACTGGTTTAAAAATTTTCATCATTGTAGAATTAAGAAAAAAATTATTCTCATGCACTTAGGTTTACTTCTCTATGTTTTTTTTTTTATGTAGATAAGAATTTTTTTTTCATGTATATAAATTAAAGAAAGATAATTACATTATTGTATTATATTGACAAGTTGAATGATAAAAATAAATAAATAAATCATAGATTTATGATATATTGATAAGCTGAATGATTAAAATTAAATAATTAGATAAATAATAAATTTGTTTCTATTAATTGCGAATAAAAACATTGGATATGAAGAAATTAAACTTTATCCTAACATAAAACGTATTTAAAATATGATGTTACGATATTAATCTAAAAACATCTATAGAGATTTTGTTTGATTATTAAATGACTTTATTTTTATAATTAAAGTTAAAAAAAATACAGTAAGAAAAAATATTTATTTATTTAAAATGCACTGATTTACATAAGTTCAAATAATTAAAAAAGATTTAATTTTATCATTACCGAAGGGAGCAAAGAAGACAATTTTGAAAATAACTAAGACTTTTCGTTATTCCCCTAAGCGTACTTGGATGGCCAGATCATAGGAAAGAGATTTATCATAAAAGGCATGGATAATCTTGTGGGTCGAACAGATTAGCCCTAATTCACGTATCATTTGTTACAATGTTTTAGCTCTAAGCCCATACAAGGAAAGTAAGTTTGAGTAACTGGGCTCAGGCCCATGACATTTATTGATTCTTCTCTATGTTTCTGGGCTTCGAGCCTCAGCCTGAAACCGAGCAGGGCAAAACAGTAAAAGAAAAAGATCAACTAAGCCTCCCCGACTCCACTGGGGATCGAACCCAGAATCTCTGGTTCCGTAGACCAGCGCCTTATCCATTGGGCCATGGAGTCGTTTCTGTCAACAGGTCTTATCTCTTTATTAATAAACATAATTCTGGTTAGGATCATCGCAATCTAAGTGTCCAGTAACATCTTGGGTGGGTCATATTTATATCAACTTCACCAGCCAGTTCTATAAAAAAAAAAAAAATCAACACAAGGACTTACTAGATGAAAATCACTATGTCCAACAACTCCAACCACTAAATTTGAAAATAGTATTCTGAATGTTGCTTTTTGGTGGCTAACTATGCTTTCTCTAATGTATGACTCAAGCACATGCTAAAGCAACCAAACTAGAATACCTGAGATACATTTGTAAGAGTTAGGCTAACTAGCTAAACAAATTGATTGGGTATGTGTTTCTAATATTTGTCCCTCCACTCGCATTTCTCACTTCTCTTTAGTATTCCAACTCCTTACAAATTGGTAATTAAAATCTTTTTTATATGATATGGAATATTGCTAATGCATTTAAAAAGTTCATTTATTAGAATCAACAAAATGATAAATATGATAAAGCATTGATCTAGCTTAAAAAATAATAATTTTAATCTAGATTAACATAAAAAATGATATAAACATACCATATTATCTGAATGTATTTGATTCAAAACTAGCTAATTCATTTTATGAGATTATTTTAAGTCTTACCTAAATTAACATAGATTTTGTATATATGATCAATTAGATGTGTTGAAACATAGAAAATAGAGTATTTTCATCACTTTGCAATTCATGAATTCTATAGGCTGCTAAGATTTAGATTCACAAATTAAATCATCATAAAATTGTATCATTGCTCAGGTTGGAAGAAATTTAATTCAGTAGTGCCTGTAATTTGAAGAGAAAGTTGAGATAGTTTATATGATATAGCATTCCGGATTTACCAAAGCAAACTGCAAAAGCTAACATCAAAACAGAAGAAAAAACCAAATTTTTGTTGTTGTGCTATTCACATGTTTCCATCTATGACACCTGCTGAAAATTGCAATCCATTTTTCAAAAAAATTTATTGAACAAAGAGAAATGATAAAAAAGTATTACTACTCGTAATTCAAACTAGCTATCCCACAAATCTCTTCACACGTTGCAACATTCTACCAGAAGAAAACATCAGTTCGTACGTTAATTATCAACCAAAAACAGATTTTCCGACACATAATCACCTAATAAAACATGGGTTGCTTTTGTTTCTTTCTTTGCTTTAATTCTTTACAATATTTTTTTTAATTGTTCGAGGGTTAAAGATGTTGGTAATTGTATATTCTATTATATTTTTAACTAAGTAATTAACGCCTAAACATGATTTGTGTGACCCTCTAGGCGTTACTTTCAGTAGCATAAGATTCTTATTGGCACATGTTTATCTATATAAATAGGAAGCTAATGGTGGCATAATCTTCCATATCACATTTCTTCAGGTAAAGTACTCAAAAGAAAAGGAATTCAACAATGGCTAGCCTCATTGCTCCTGCCAGCCATGTTCCTAATGAAGATGCTGAAGTTCTCTTGAAGGCTTGTAAAGGTACATCTATCTCCCCCTCTCTTTCTTTCTTTTTAGTTGCATAAAAATGTTAATTTTAGTTGTGAGAAATTCCATAAATTTAGTTATATCCTTTTCCTATATGGATGATTTTATTGCTGTCTAGTCCAACCTTAAAAATATACTGTATGCTATCTAACATAATACAACTGAAAGGAAAATGTTAACATGCCTGAAAAAAGATATCAAATAATTGCAAGGAATGGTGAAAAATGGTAGTGCTGTAACAATCAAGAAAAATAATTCCATGAAACAGAGTAATAAATTCAATTTTTAAATCAACAAAAGGAAAGAAAAAGAAAAAGGTAAAAAAGGGAAATTATCAACAATATTTTGATTTTCTTTATTGTGATTTTTAATTTGAAAGTGAAGAGGTTGATGTGAATGGTTTGTCAGCATGAGTTGTTTTTTTCTGCTTTAATTTCTGGAAAAAAATACTCAGAGTTGGTGATATACACCGGCCTAGGTTATGCCTTATATGGTACAAAGTTAATGCATAAAACCGGAAACAAGAAAAAAATCAAAAGTCTGTCCAAAAAGGCAAAAAACGAGGAAGAGAATTAATGCATGTATTTTTTTTGCAACAACATAAAAATTGCTGTGCCTGGTCTCCAAATTTCTTCCTGTTCCTCCCATTTGTCTTAAAAAATGATAGAGTTAATAGCTTAATGTGGATGATAAATTTTTTAATCTGTCTTTATATTTTAAATTGAATTAACTTTATTAAGTGTTTAATCTTTTTTTTTGTTAAGATTTCAATCTAAACTATCGAAATTAATCACACGATATGCAAATGAAAACGAAATATTTGATTGTCTTATAAGGGTATTTTGAAAATAAAAATTAATCATATGCAAATTAGGAAAATAATTCTAGTGTTTTGGCTCGAAAAATCTTGAAAAAAAAAAAAGATTGAAAACTCAATGAAAGATATAAAAACAATTGAAAAATTATCTTATATAAGGACAGATTTAGCTATTAATTCAAAATGACAAAACAAAAATATTTATTGATTCCAGCAAACTAGAACAGGTAAGCAAGATTCCAATCAAGGAAAGCAGGTGGTCATGCTGATTTATGTCCTTTCTATCCATTAAAATTAGGTAATTTCCTAGAAAAAGTTGATTTCATTGCCGTCGTTTTCGACGTAGTAATGTTGTAACAACATATTACTATAAGTATGAGAGTATGGACAAGTCTCCTTCACATTGAATTTTCTAGCTAGAGAGACAGAGAGAGTTAATTTCAATGGCTACCCTCGTTGTTCCTGAGAATTTTTCTTACGTTGACGATGCAAAAACTCTTAAACAGGCTTGCCAGGGTTAAGTTTACTTATCCTTCTCTGTCTTACATATATTTTCCTCCTCTCTTTTTTTCACTAGGATAATTTGTTCCCTTTTCTCTATCTAAAGAAATCATCTTGTGAGTTCATGTTTGCTTGTTTTGATTCTTGAATTTCAACAGGATCGTAATAAATGAAGTAGCAGACCACTAGATCTTTGCAATTTGGAAGTTATCAACTCAATCTCTTCTTTTTTTACTCCTGTTTATTTCCTCAGGATTTTTGTTCACTTCTTTTGTGAAAAAACCAATCCAGATTGATGTTGTGATCATCAATGATTTTATCCAATAAGGAGATATCAAAACTGACATTAGTATTTTATGTGTCCTGTTTGTTTTTGTTAGGCTGGGGGACTAATGAGAAGGCTCTAATTTCAATACTGGGTCATAGAAATGCAGCTCAAAGGAAGCAAATCAGGCTAGCTTATGCAGAATTGTTTCAAGAAGATCTTGTCAAGCGTCTCGAGTCTGAGCTCTCTGGAGACTTTGAGGTAATTGCTAGTTTCATGGTTATTATAATGTAAACTTTATCATAATTTGTGTTCTGCAAAAGATTTGATGCATATTAAGGTTTGACCATAGTCGTTATGCTCTTTCCACCACAAGGAATGTCGCCGAGTGGCATGAAGTATGATTGTCTGTTTCTATGTGTTCCTGTGATGCTTATCAAGATTCATATATTTGTGAACATAGAAAGCTGTGTATCGATTGCTGTTGGATCCAGAAGATAGAGATGCGGTGTTAGCAAATGTGGCCATCAGGAAATCTGGAGATTACCATGTAATTGTTGAAATTGCCTGTGTCCTATCTTCAGAGGAGCTCTTGGCTGTGAGGAGGGCTTACAAGGCTCGCTACAAGCATTCCTTGGAAGAAGATCTTGCGGCCCATACCTCCGGTGATACCAGGAAGGCATGCTACAATCATTGATTATTTTGTTAGACCATCCACAATTGCCTATCACTTCAATAATGTGCTAACTGCTAACATGATTTGTCAGTTGTTGTTAGTAAATGAAATGGAGTAACTAAAATCCTGATGGTTTGTTATGATCATTTTTCAGCTCTTGGTTGGATTAGTGACCGCATTTAGGTATGAAGGTGATGAAATAAATGTAAGATTGGCTAATTCAGAAGCTGATATTCTTCGTGATGCAATCAAAGACAAGGCATTTAATCATGAAGAAGTCATTAGGATCGTGACTACCAGGAGCAAAGCACAGCTCATGGCAACTTTCAACCGCTACAGAGATGACCATGGCTCTTACATCACTAAGGTACAGACAAAAATACAATAGCTTGTTAAAACAAACTGCTTCTACTTATCAAGATAAATGTTTACGGTTGCAAGTTGTTTTGATCTCTGTGAATGCCTACAAGTTGTTTTCACTTGTGAGACATGTAACTGAAGTTTTAACAATTCGAACATAGAACTTTTCTTCGCAAGATTAAGTATAATTATTTATATGGAGCACTAATGGTCAATTTTCGTTTAACAGGATTTACTCGATGAGCCTGCTGATGAGTTCAAAACAGTTCTTCGTACATCCATTCGGTGCATCAACAACCACAAAAAGTATTACGAAAAGGTTAGATTCTTCATAGACTATTGCTTTAATTTCAGCGATGAAATATGAACGAAATAAGACCTTGTTGCTTTCTGCTATAGATTTTGCGCAATGCCATCAGAAAGGTTGGAACTGATGAGGATGCGCTGACTCGTGTGATCGTCACAAGGGCAGAGAGAGACTTGAATGATATCAAGGAGCTTTACTACAAGAGAAACAGTGTGCCCCTTGAACAGGCAGTTGCCAAGGACACTTCTGGGGATTACAAAGATTTGCTCCTTGCTCTGCTTGGAAAGGAGGATTAGTTTCTTCTTTCAGCATTTCAGAGTTTTCAGTCACAATTCAATAATGTTTTATCTAGAACTTTCTTTCTTCGAGTCTATGGTCGTGGTCTTGATTTCCTAATCCCATCTTATGTGGCATTATGTAATCCTATGTTATGTTTTCTGTGATCTGAGTGTTTCTCTAAACGGCTGCCTGTTGGCCTATTCAGAATGTTTCATTGATGCAATATAAGCTTCCATTTGAATTCTGTTTCCTTTATAATTTAACTTCTCTTTTTTCTTTTTATCGACCTTTATAATTTAACTCGGGCATCAATTCAACTCATGCCAGCTGCAGAGATTGCAGAAGCAAGCAAAATATTTCCAGCTAAAATCCTGAATGCTTAGTGCTAAAATTAAAGTTGGAATGATGTGTCAAATTTGATTACCTATCAGCACATTATTTTCCATTTTCCTACATTTAGAAGAATGAAATTTCACTAGGTACCTCCCATTGTGCTTCTGTAACTTCTGGAAACAATGCTGCAAATGCACTGTCCTTTGGTAGAAATAAATTTGAAGCAAGGAATTTTAGAAATGAACTGGAAATTCTAGAGCAGATTGGAAATTAGTTATTTCCTAGATATATGTATGTTTCTGTTGACCTGGAAACTAATCAGCAATAGAAATACTGTAATGAAAGAAACATAGGAGTTTGTTGCCAGGTATTTGACCAAATAAGATCGTTCAGTTCCTATAGAACCTATCACTAAAATACTCCAAGAGGGGGATAAAGCTAAGTGGAGTGGAAAGGGTTTTCCATGAGATGGAAAACGAATCCTATTCGCTCCACACGAGATTTGTGAATAAGTGATTGTCTTATAATGAGCAAAAAAATATCTGTCTTCTGCATTTCTAGTACTATCTGCAGTTACACAACCACCATGCTATCTGTGAATGAAAGACTGCAGAAAAAGAAAATTAGAATATTTTTGCTGAACAATCAACTTCCCAAATCTTTTAATTAGAAGGAAACAAGAAAATATCAATTTATATCAAAGAAGAATGCAGAATTACAACATATTTGATATCGCCCTCCCATCCTCACCATTTTGCTATTTCCCTGATACACTGTAATGTCACAAGAAAGAAACTAGGGGGGTGACCCAGGAAAGGAAAGAATTTCCATTTATTAAGGCATTATCTTATGCCAACACAACTCAAGACATACAAAAGATCACATGCCGAAAAACAAAGATTGACAGAAGAAGATAACCATTGAAGCCAGATTTAAACATTGATTCAAAATCCAAATAACAATATGTCTTTTCAATCAATTGTCTCTTGTTATCAGGGTAAGCAAGAAATCCTTATAGTTCCCATTTGCTTTATCTTCAATTTTCTTGGATAGAGAGACTCCAAACAAGTTATTGTATTCTTCTTTGATCTCCTTCATATCCACATCTGCTCGGGTTACGATTACTCGAGTCAGACCCTTTTTGGTGTTCTTGTGTGCATCACTGCTCATTGCCTCATCCAAAACCTATAAGAAATGAAAAATTTACAAGCATTGCATAAGAATATGCACAATATGTTGTCCATTGACTCTGGCTATTTGGTTGTGACTTTATCTTACCTTGCTGAAATACGCATGAGGGGTGCATAAGCATTCAACTGTCTCTTTCAAGATCAAGTCAGAAGCATCAAGATCCTGAACAAAGCAAGAAAGCAGTCAAATTGTGTTGGATCTCTTTTTCTATCTTTAAGAAGATGCCTCAAAACTATCTAGTTAGACTCGTGGTTCTGTTTCTAAAGCTTGTTACAGTGCAGACCTCATGAATATTTTTTCCAGAAACCTCCTTGTAGTGTTTGTACACTGCTTTGAGATGAGGCTTGCTTCTTGTTGCTAGTATTCTGACCACCTCTTCATCCTCAATTGGGTTCTTCTTGTCACCATTCTTAATAGCATTAGCAAGTATTTTAGCTTCAGATTTTGCAGCGTCTTCCTTAACCTTTGGCCCTTCGTACCTATAGGCACTTACAAGTGCTACCAAAAGCTGCTCACAGCACAGGAAAAAAATCATATCAGATACCCTTTTCCATCACTCCAGAGGAACAATCGTTTCATTTAGAACAATTTTGATGATGGAAAAAAAAAAACTTTAGAACCAAACTAAAATGACCCAAAATCGAATCAAAATGACGAATGCGGATCTCTATCAAGTCCAATATAAACATTGTTCTGTACCTTGCGCTCACTGCCATGGATGTGGGTGGCAACATCTTCTTCAATGGAGTGATCAAAGAGGGAATGATAGGCTTTCCTTGCTCCCAACAGCTCTTCTGATGATCTGGTACAAGCAATCTCTACAATCACACCATAAGATTGTGGACCCTTCTTCAATGCTTCCTTCACCAAACGAGCATCTCTTTCCCAAGGATGCATAGCCCAAAGCACCAAAGTATTCTACAAAACCATTCAACAAGGGTCACAAATCTTGCAGTCCTGTAATTTTCTTCAAGAAAAACAGAACAAAGAAACGAAAAGGTACCTTAAATCGCATGAATTCATGCTTAAGAAGTTTGACACGGTGATCATTCCAACGTTCAAAAGATCGTTCATCCTCTATGAAAAAATGGGGAGTTCTTTTTCTGAATGATGTTCTATGTTCAGGATGTGATTTTCCCAAATTTTCTATTAATGACTTCTCATCAACTCCAAGTCCTGTTATAACAAATAAAAAACATAACCTTATTCACACTCTTCTAACAAAAAATGAAAGTTTGCAGCTATGTGGCTATAAGGAAAAGGAGGAAATTAGAAAATGAAAAGAAGGATGGAGATGAAAACTCTTGAAGCATCCATTTTATAGTATATTAACATGCAGACGGTGATCAGAAAAGGGGAATCTGGGAACTGGGACTTTGTCGATCCAAGTACTGGTGTGCCCTGATGCTATCAGTTTGAAGCAGTAGAAATATCCCATTGCTTGTAAAATATAAAAAAAGAAGGAGAACTACTAACATAATTTACTAAAAATAGCTAGACAACAGTTTATAGCAGACTGCTGCCACCAAAAATTTTGTTGACATAAAATGTGAAAAGAAGAAGCATTATGGGCTGAAAAGTTTGATAAGATCATCAACCAACATTCAAACAATCAGGATGCAAGATGAAATTGATGGCTTATAGTTGCCATTGAAATGAGCTTTTGTGACCAAGAATTGAAGAAAAAGTTGGACAGAGGATTTGGATGTTCTCGAATTGATTTATGAAAGTAAATTCAGGCTGAAAGAGATGAAAAGAGTAAGAAAGAACCTGTGAAGGCATTGACGAGAGCTTCCAAATCAGCCATTTTTTTCTTACGATTTCTGTGTGTCTTTAGATGGAGTGGGGCAAGAAGGAGTAAAACATCATCTAAATTTATATCATTCTGAGAGGCTATTTTTGTCAATTAGGGACTTAAATCCTTTATTAAAGAACAAAAATGGGAAGTAATAGAAAAAATTTAATAAATGTGAAAGGAAAATGGCATTTAAGTCCCTAATTGGTGACACTCTTGCATTTAAAATACTTTTGAAAAAAAAAACTCTTTTCAATCTTCTTCAAAGGCTTTGAAATCTCATAACTCTTTGAAGAAAATGTCATAATAATATTTAATTAGAGGTATAAGCCATAATGGCTTAAATTAATTATTTTTGTTTAGGGAGTTATAAACAATTAAAAGGTAACGGTGGTGGAAATATATATGAAAGAAAGGAAACATAACTAAAATATTTAATTGTGATGCTTTGTTTTCTTTTGCAAGGAAGTCCTTGCATTTTGGCATATATGCTGTTCAACCCAATCTTTTTGAAATTGTTAGTTTTCACTGCACAATTTCTGATTTTGCATATATAGCCTCTTCTAACAACCATCTTGGATTTTGGATTTAAGAGTGAAAATGAAAAAAAAAAAAAATGCTAGTTTTTCTCAATAATGTAAACAGTAAGATTATTTTGCCATATTCACAGTCAAGAATTTTTCCATGGAGGTCTTGAAAGGTGACCCTTGATCATAGTAGGTAGAATACATTATTTGCACTTTATCAAATTAAAAAGGCTGTAAATACAAAAAAAAAAAAAAAAAAAAAGAGAAATATTATTATTTTATTGATTAAAAAATTTGATTTTTGAGAAGTATCAATGATCGTATAATATTGTTTTTTTTTTTGTCCAAATGAAAGATTTGAAGATTTATTGATTTTAACAGCTGATTACAAAATTAATTATTCAGACTTTTCGTATCATAGATATGGAATTCAAATCTATGAATGAGGATATTTTTGAAACTCGAGGAGTCTTTTAACTTAATGGTTTAATTAGTTAACTCTCACATTTTATTTATGACATACAATTTTTTTTTTCATATTTAAATACTTATGCTTTGACATAAAAAAGAAGAAGATACTTTTATATAATAATGATGCTATAAAATTCAGAGTTAATAGGCTCGTATGTCCTTATATAATAAGTTAATTTTTTGATTTATTGCTAATAAAAATAGCTCTAATTTATTTTTATATTTTAACCTGATTTTTAATCTATTTTTAGTTAAAAAATTTAGCTAAATTAAATCAAATTAAGTATGTAATTTACACTTGGTATACAATTTGAAAAAAATATCTTTTTTATTTGACACGAGTTATCTATATCTATTAATATAAAAATTAATTTTTGAAAATTAACTGAAAATTTTGACAAAAAAAAAAAAAAAGAAGAAATTGAAAATATAAAGATAGATTAAAAAAAAAATTTGAGAACAAATTAAAAATTAGCTTATTATATAAAAAGATGTAAGGGTATTAACCAATGAAATTAATGTGAATTTTACCCACTTCGATTAAATATTATTTAATTCCAATACTTGTGCACGACGTTATCACCTATAGACTTTCACCAAAAACAAATTATATTTATGCTTTGTCAGCCTTTTTTTTTTTCTCGTACGATCACTTTCTTGACCATATATGTCAGAAAATTTGACAGTCATCACTGCATTCCTTTTTTAATCCTCGTGTAACATGCATAAATATTTTTTTCTGTCCTCTGAATTATGAATGCCTCACTGGTAAGATCCTTTTCTTTTATATTACTTCAATTTTATGCATAATTTAGTTGAAGAAGCAACAAAAGTCGGTATCATTTATTTATTTAGTGCCAAAATGTCATCCTTTCATGACATATAATATAAGATATCGTTTATCTCTACAGCTAAGCATGGTACAACATGAGCTGTTGGATATTAATAAATTAAAGACACATGATGCAATCTCTACACGTCATCTATCTCTTTGTCTCATCAAAGAGTTGAATATCCATAAGAGTTGTTTTAATTCTTTATTAGTGGTAGCCATCAAGAATGATTGTGCTAATCAAAAAAGTCTTAAGTATTAATGAGAGTTGTTGGTTGTTCCTTGGGTGAAACGATCATATGTGAATGCTTTGTGCCCTAGACGTACGTACATGGCCCTAGACTTTCACGTTCTCATAATTGGTGGGAAAAAAATACTAAACAAGTTATGCATGTGGCTCATATCTTTGAACCTATCTGCAATAATAATAATTTAAGAAAGCTCTCATGTCTCTCCTCTCCCCCATGAATTTTTTTCTCGTCCAAGCATTTCAAAGGATCTGTCATTTGTAAGACAATGACTTTCATTTAATAATATTAGGTTATCCCATATTAATTGTAGAAAAAAATTGAGTATTTTGTTATAAATATGAAAAAAATTTCATTCTTTAATCTAATTTTTGGGGTCAAGAAGACTCAATACTGATAGTAGAATCCAAATTAAACATTGTTCATATATTGAAGTCACGTAAATTAATAAAAAATAACTAATTTAAAAATTGATGCATGAAAAAAGAAATTATTATTAATTGTGAAAAAAATGAATGCAAATCGATGGAAAAATAGTTAATTTAAAACTCAATAAGTGAATAAAGAAATTGTTGTGAATTTTGAAAGAGACGAGATGCTTAGATATAATCGTAAAGAAAAGTTCAATAGCACCTATCCAATAATTTCAAATAATAGTAAATGTTCATATTATATTGAATGAGAAAATAGGACAGAAAAAAAACAACAAGAAAGCAGTATCTGAACTGAAAAAAATTGACCTGGAAAATGCAGATTACTAGTGAGTACCTTAACCAAAATCATCAGCATGTATTCTTAACTAACATATGCATGATTACATTAATATTTTTCTTATTCCTTTTGTTTTTGTTTTTTTCCCTTTTAATATTGCTAAATGTGGACTTGTTTGTTTGTTTGGTTAAGGATTGAGACATCATTATTTATGGAGCAATTAAGCAGTCCAAACGTGTTTCACAACAAAGGGATAACAACGTGGAAACACAATTGTACAAGTGCCTTTCTTCTGCTTCCGCTGACCTTGATTTTTCAGATATAAAATTGTTTGTACTTGTGTAATGAGAGGATTGGTCTACAATGTTTAATTTTTGTGGTAGAGGCAGAACTAGATCTTGATGTAAGGATTTATTTATTACAAGAGTGCATGTGACGAGGTGGGAACAAAGAAATAACTAGGTGGGGTATTTCAGTAGTTAGCTAGGATGAAGCCAAAGCATGCATAATTAATTGACATGGGTCCAATCCAGAAGATGGAGTTAAAGGTCATGTCTTCACGTTTTTCATCTTTTAAAGATATTATATTAAAGCTGTCCAGTTTGGAAGGGAATTTTTATTACTTCGTATATCTTTTAAAGATATTTTATTAAAGCTATCCAGTTTGGATGGGAATTGATAATGATTTATGGGCTGGAAATGTCACTTTCCTTCTCTTTCTTTATCACTCTGCAGCTAGCCATTGAGAACCTGTGAAGCACATGCATGAAAGTTACTTATCTTGACCTTACAACTACTTCTTCAAAAGGATCTAAATATCAATGCTTCTTTGTTGATGGAAACTAGGAAAATCTCAAATGCCAATTAGCTAATTAACTGAAAACATCAGAGAAAAACTTAATTACCGATATCTCTCAGCAGACAAGAAAAACTTGAAAATTAATTAAGAAGCTTAAGAAACAAAGATGAGATCCACGTGATTCTTTGACCATAGGGCAAGACAACGTAGCCCAAGAAGAAGAAGAAGAAGAAGAAGAAGAAATACTACTAGAAAAACCAGGAATAAATTCTTGCTTCTTCTGTAAGTAAGATCATGAAAAAAATAACGAAGCATGGTTATATTTTAATTCCAACTCATGGGAAGTAGAATCATATACAGCTTTATTATTATTATTATTATTTACTTTTATTTTTTAATAGGGAGAATCACATGCACATTACTGGTTATAACATGCTAGAGTTCTTTTTTCATGAGAAAAAAAAAAGAGAAACTTCCAAAATTTTAAATCTTTTCAATAATTAATTGTCCCAATTAAAGAAAAAGGAAAAAAGAAAAAAAATTAGTAATTAATTAATCAATATGAGCATTTATTTCCCATTTATTTTTGCTTTTGACAAACTGTTGCAAAGACTTAAGCAAATATAAATATTTCATGGCAACAAACGTGAAATAAGAAAACTTCATTGACTTTACCAGAAATATGCCAAAAGTTAGTGTCTCTACTGCAAAAACTCATTATATTTAAAGAAGTTCCGTAATTTCCCAAACAGCCCTTTTCTTTGTTTTTAACCGTTGTTCTCCATAAACAGAACAGGTTTGTAAAGATTTTAATGTGGTTGAGGGGCATTGATGTCCAATAAAAAAAGATTAGAACTCCTCTGTTCTTGCTTGCTATTAGGAGGGAACGTGGAAACAGAAACAACATAAACTGAAAAACAGAACTGGAAGCACTCGCTTCTTCTAAGATTTCGATTTTGTCGTAAAATAACAAATTTTCAGACTTAACCTAGAAAGAAAGAGAGTAAAAAAAGACACCCCATTTCTTAATTGGGCTGTGTTTGTTTCGGGGAAAAATCTTGAGGGAAAAAATGGCTACTCTTAGAGTACCAGAGGTTGATCCTTCTCCAACCCAAGACTGTGAGAAACTCAGAGAAGCTGTCCAAGGTCTCTCCTTTTCTTATATGTTTCAGCTTTTTGAGTTTCTAATTTACCACGTTTGAGCCAAATGTGTTTTTTTCTGCATGTGTTTAAGTTTCTGTGTCCATGAGCTCTGGAAATATGTGACATGTTCAAAGAAGAGTTCTTTTCTTTTCATTTCTTTCTAGGTTTTGAAGGTTTTTTCTTTTTTCCTTTTCCTTTTTTTTTCCTCCTACTGATTTCTCTTTCTGGGCTCTCTGAATTTCTAGATTTTCTGATCAATTGTGTATTCTTTTGCCATAACTTACTTTCCCATGTATTTAGAGGACGAAGAAACAGAGCAATATCACCCAATTTTCAGATTATTGATTCTGTTTAATAGGTCAGAAGTGGACTATTTATTCTCACTGATTAATCTTTTTTTTTTTTTTTTTTTGGGATATTGCGTGTAGGATTGGGGACAGATGAGAAGGCAATTATATGGATATTAGGACATAGAAATGCAAGTCAACGGAGGAAAATCAGAGAGACTTATCAGCAGCTTTACAACGAATCCCTCATCGACTGTCTCTATTCTGAGTTATCTGGTGATTTTAGAGTATGAATTTGTTTATCCCTTTATGCAGATTTATTAATACATCTTGACTTGAGACATTTCTGAGTATCATAATTGTTAAATTCTTTGTTTATCAGAAAAACGTTAATGCCTTTGCTGTAATGGTGATTATGATGGTTTGGTTGTAGTGATGGAAACATGATTTAGGTAAAACAGTTCATATTCATTAATTAATATGTTTACTTTTGAAAGTACAGGAAATTTAGGGAATAGAAAAAAAAATGAAACTCTTGAAATTGAAATCTCTTAATGACTTGAAACCGAAAATGAAAAGTGTAGATTTGATGTTGAAAACACCAATAAGGTTACAAGCGATGTTACTACTGACTATAGTATATTGTTTGTCAAAAAGAATAAAACTATTTTGTTTCCTTCATGGAAAATATGTTTGCCTGTAATATGTAGTAAGAACAGTGAGACTAATCTCAGCTTTGATAAAGAAATCTGCTCTGTGGAAATTAGCTTTCTGCTAAATGTGTGCGACAGACATGTTTGCCAAAGATTTTTATTAGCATGCAGCAAATCAAGGCCACGTTTGGTTTTTTCTCAAAGAGAAAAAGTGGTCGAAGTTGAAAATAGTAGAGTACTCATCACACCTATTCCAGAAGATGATTAATAGAATCATTGAAACTTACCCATATTTTGGCAAGTAGACCTAGCTTTCTTTCAGTTCGTTACATGGACTCAAAATCCGACAATTCTTCGTAAAACATTGCAGTTTAGAAGACTTTTGACCTGCGAAGCGTTTCGATTTATGAATTGTTTCGATTTAAGTGAACTTTGGTTTCACAAATGACAATCCATATATTGACATCTAACATATAAAGCTTTTGATCTGTAACAGAAAGCAGTGATCTTGTGGAGCACTGATCCTCCAGAGAGAGATGCAAAACTGGCAAATGAAGCACTGAAAGCTAAGAAGAAAGGCATTAAACAGCTGCAAGTGATAGTTGAGATAGCATGTGCATCATCTCCTAACCATCTTCAGGAAGTAAGGCAAGCCTACTGCTCTCTTTTTGATTGCTCACTTGAAGAAGATATTGTATCTGCAGTCTCCCCGCCACTCAGAAAGGTAAAATCTCGGTAACAGGCAATGTAGACTTGTTCTGTGCGGGCCAACTACTCACTTCAGGGTTCAAAAGGGGAGGTCGCAAACTTTAAGAATTGACTACTGGCATGTATAATCATGACTATATGCTCAGAATGTACTCATTAAAAAGAAGAGGAGAAGTACCATGAATTAGAACAAGCTGTTTAGAACATCAACCATCTTAGGTAAAACAATAATGCATATCACCAAAAGAACTAATTATTTGGCGTCTGTGCTAAATAAGAAAGAAGAATAGAACTGATGCACAATAAAAGAAAAATGACTTCCTAATTATTTGGATTTTAGAGGTTTCTGCAGTGTCTAAACCACCATAATGCTGGGATTGCACAGATTTTGGTGGCTGTAGTGAGCTCTTACAGGTATGATAAAGAACTGGTGGATATGAACATTGCCAACTCAGAGGCAGCTAAGTTACATGAAGCCATCAAATCAAAGAAATTAGATCATGATGACATAATACATATACTGAGCACTAGGAACTTTCATCAGCTAAGAGCAACTTTCGCATGCTATGAGCAGAACTTTGGAAATTCTATTGACCAGGTGCTGCTTCTTCAACAACCAAGAGTAAAAAGTAGTTTTGTTTAAAATACTGTCTGGACAGTTTTTCTGAACAATTTCTTTGCAGGACATCAAGAGTTGTGGAAAGGGCGATTTGGAATCTCTTTTGAGAGTAGTAATTAAGTGCATAGAAGCCCCAGAGAAACACTTCGCTGAGGTATTTAGTTGTCTTTATAGCTGGTGTACTTGGCACTAATGTTCCTTCATTAAATGAGACAGCTTCAAAAAACATACTTTCGAGTCACTTTCTCACGTCATGAAAAAGATCAATATTTTGCATGTAGGACATATTTCTTGATTTATCAGAAACAAATAAAAACAAACATTGCTTCAGAAGTTGAGTGCTGATGTTGAGTGCTGTTTCCTCACTATTGAGAAAATGAACTTTCTATATTCTCATTGCATTGGTACTGTTATATACTATTGACAGGTTATTGGAGCAGCCGTAATTGGGTTGGGAACAGATGAAGATTCACTCACTAGAGCAATTGTAACTCGAGCTGAGATCGACACAATGAAAATCAGAGGGGAGTATTTCAACACCTATAAAACCAACCTTGATGGTGCAGTTATTGGTGATACTTCAGGAGACTATAAGGACTTCTTGATGACCTTACTTGGTGCAAAAATCTAAATCATTCTCTGTACATTTGTTTATTTTTATATCATTTGTGAGACTGGAATTTGCGTGTGCTCGTATCATCTAAATAAGATTTGTATCAGGAATAATGCCTGCTAGACCAAAACTTGAATCTCCTTGGAGCTGTGATTTTAGTTTGATTTTTTGTACATAGGTGCTTGAAATGATTTTTTTTTTTTTTTTTGGTTCTCCTTTTCATGGACAATTGCAATTCATTTAAGTATAAATTTTTCAGTGATGATCTCAAAGTCTTTTAGGGCCGAAAGTGTGCCCTGATACAATTTAGAGTTCAAAGATAATAATCCAATATATGGAAGCATGAGAAAAAGAGCTGCTGAACAAGTTGATGGATTTAAACTTATGTACAAGCATAACATTCCACCAACTAAAACTCAAGCGCTGCCCCAATTTTGAAACTGAAAACATTATAGAATCCTGCCACATCTGGCTATAGCTAAACTGGATGAATAGGCAAATGCCAGCAGATATGCTGACCAGGAATGTTGGCAAGGCCAAGTCCACAGGCATGCAAGCTTCATTTCCAGACTTGATGCCGAACTAGATTAGATATCATCTCCAAACTTTATACCATACTGACCAGAAGCCTCCCATATATTTATACTGTGTCCAAATCTCGGATCCATCCCTGGAGCCCTCCTCGACAAATATGAAAATTCAATGAATCTGTTTTCAAAGGGGATGGTAAGAAAGAAAGGGTTAGCTGCCTCAGATAGGTGGACAAAGTTTGTACTAGCATCATGAGAAGATGCCGCACAGAACAGAAATGAACAGTAACCTGGGAATTGTTATTCTGACAAATGACATTGAGTTTTTGATGCACTGTGTCAGTATTGGCATTAACCATGCTTCAGATTCCAGATAGTGAAAACTGGGTGGGAATAAAGTGTTGCAGTAACATGTGCTGTTTCATAAATTTTGATAGAAATATGCTCAGCAGGGGACAAAAACACATGAACCACTTGGTCCCAATAAAGACTAGTATGCACTTACTATGTGGCATTAGCTTCACCACAACTGATCAAACTACCTTAATCAATTAACTTCCATGCAATGAACAAACTGAGAAATATTTGAGTTGTGCAATTTCACTTTTGGTTATTCCACATGTCAATATAACATATGGATATTTAATGTATTCCTTATACGTATATTGTGATCAGAGTTGTAATCGGATCAGGTTTGGTCAATTCATGTGTTGTTAGATAGAATACAAGTGCTAATAACCATTATGGTTCACCTTAAGATTCCAGTTTCTTGTTCTGAATGTTGAAGCTAGCCAGCATGTACTAGGATTTAGAGTTCGGTCAATTTAAGAGCCTGGAATGCTATAAGAGAAAATTTGGATAAGTATCCTGCAAGGAATTCACAAGGAATAAATGACAAAAATATGATATGGACATTGAGAGTAACAAGCAGCAAAATATTTGTATGACAAACCTGTAGACATGATGACCCACCTCAACAGCTGGCCATTAGTAATCTTAACAAAGCTATACTGTAATGAATCCATGAAGAATGAATAACCAGACAGCATAAGTAAAAAACATAATTAGAAGGGAGAAAATGAAAATTAAGATTATTAATACCTAAGTTTGTTGGATGAATGAAAGAAGAGCCTCTAGCAGTCTTCTGGCTCGATCCAGCAGCCATTGACATATATGAAGAGGAGATGAGAAATCTTGGGCCAATCTTCGCCTTTCTTGATTTCACACCTTTTCTCTAGGTGAGGACATCCTCTGATTTCAAGAAAATAAAGAGAGGAGGGCAGCCCCTCTTCTGGCAAGGATTGGAGATTAGCGCATGTGTCAATCTTCAATTCTTTAAGAGAGGTGAGGCGTAGAAGCCCCTTGTAGTCTAGAGATTTCAAATTTTCAAGGAACCGGATTTCAAGATACTTAAGATCTGTAGGCAGCAGAATTTCTCCTGGGAAGGATTCCACATCTTCATTGTAAGCAATTATAAATTTTGAAAGAGAATGTTGTAGAAGCAAATCCCATTGCATGCGGTTTGCAATGAGTTTATTGCAACTCTGGATGCAGAGTGTTTCAAGCTCAAGGGGCAAACCCCCTTCCGGAAATGACTCAAGTTCTGGATGTCCTTTCAATTCCAAATCCACAAGGGAAAAAGGACAAGACAAATGCTCAGACAACAACTTTAAATTTTTGTAATCAAATAACCGAAGCTTTGTCAATTTCAGGGCAGATAATCCTCCTTTGGAAAAGCAAACTAATTTAGGACACCCCTGGATTTCCAAGAAATGGAGAGACCTAAAATAAGGATTCTCATATGCAGAAAGAGAATTCAGATTCGGACAATTCTTGATTGTAAGAGTCTGTAACTCTGAGAACAACTCTAGCAGGAAGCACTCAAGTAAATCAAAGTTATCTATTTCAATATTTTCAAAAATAGTGCCTGAGCATCCCATTAGCTCCAAGTCCTTGTCCAAAGAATCACAAGTTCCTGCAACCCAGAAGGCAATTTATCTAAATGCAGATCCCGAGAATCATCATATAACCAAAGTTTACCAATGATTGGATACCAGGGAAATGGGCCTACAAGCTGCTGACAACCAAGGATGTTAAGTATTGTTAAAGAAGGAAGGTGATGATCCGGCAATGCCTTTGTTAGGTTAGGACAGTTTGACACATGCAGCTCTCGAAGAAGAGGGAAAGCTTCCATGTCTTCATCAGAAATCCATTGATGCCATTGTGGCATGTCCACAAAAGTTAAAATTTTGAGGGATCCAAGTGGCTCCTTCAAGGATGTGCAGCTTCCATAGAGCTCATGACCTACAACCACAACTCCCTCAAATGATTGGATGTATAGTTCTTTTAAAGAACTTATCTGCCCAAGTGGAGGTAAGGAGGTGCATATTGCACATCTGATGAGCTCCAACATCACTACATTTGAGAAAGAAGTGTCTGCTATCCAATCTGGAAACCTTGTGCCCCCATAACCAACAAGAAAAAGCTTTGTCACAGCTGTATGTGGTTGTAATTTCTCAAGAACATCTCTTTGGTGTTGTGAGTCATCAACATCACCTTCCCATCTCAACTCCAACACTTCAACCTGTATTTCACCCTTCAGATTGGCCTCCATTGCATCTTGAGCATTCTCAATACTTTGAAGACCCCAAATTCCTATTCCCCCTTGTAGATGTTGCAGCTTGCCCAGTTCTAGAATGCTGGAACCTCTCCACCTTCCCAGAAAGAAGTCACTTAGAGTTTGGAGCTTTGTCATTTTACCCATTTGTGATGGCATCTTCTCCAGTGTTTTGTTCCCAAAATATCAAGATTTTGCAAGTTGATTAACCTTGCCGTATCAGCTGGCAACTCCGTAAGTTTTTTGCATTGCTTCAAGATTAAAGTTTGCAAATTATACAAATCACTCAGGGATGCAGGTAACCTTTCAACTGCTGTTTTCTTAAGATTCACATGTCTTAAGCATTTCAAATTGCCAATTGAATCAGGCAACTCAACAAGCTCTTCACAATCTTCCAAGATTAATATTTGCAGATTATACAAGCAACTCATGGATGCAGGTAGCAATTTGATTGCCGTTTTTTTAGATTCACATATCATAAATGCTTCAGATTCCCAATTGAATTATGCAACTCAGAAACCCCTTTGCAATCTTCCAAAATTAACGTTTGCAAAATGTATGCAGTACCCAGTACCCACAACTTCAGGTAACTCTTCTATTGATGTTCTCCGAAGATTCAGATATCGCAAATGCTTTAAATTTCCCATCGAATTAGACAACTCAGCTACACTGGAATAGAGGGACAAGGATAACTCTCGTAATTGTCTGAGTCTTGGTAATAGGTCATGTGTTAGTTCATCTTCTATCCGGTACTCTGCCCACTCTTTTCCCAACGGTAAGAAAGTGCGCAAAAGTTCACCTCCATAGATTCCTACAAACGTTTTAAAGGAATCATAAAAATTAGGTACATAAGAGAAATGATGAGCCTTTTCTGTAATCTTGTTCGAATCATCAAAGCAAAAGTCCCTTGACACAGATTTGGCTAAATCATTTATGAGGTCATACATAATAAATAATGATGGATTGTCAGTGGAACACCGCTGAAAAAAAGACCTGGATACAAGATCATCAAAGCACTCATCACCTACGATTTCGATCTCCTCATCTCCTATGAGCGGGACAAGAAAACCCTCTGCCATCCACAAACGTATTAGTTCATCCTTGTCAAATCTATAATCTTTGGGAAATATTGCACAATAAGCGAAGCACTGCTTAAGCAGGGATGGGAGATAATAGTAGCTCAATCTTAAAGCCAGAAGGATCGGATCTTTTGGAAAATTCCACATGTCACTCTTCAGCACTTTCTCCCATTCCTTTGCATCTCTTTTGGAGCGTAGGAGACCTCCAAGAGCTTTTGCAGCTAAAGGTAGGCCTTTGCGGTTTCTTACTATTCCACTGCCAATTTCTTCCAAGTCTGGACGCGCACCATAACTTCTCTCAGCAAATGCCTGTTTTGTAAAACCAACCAGCAATCATCTTCAGTTAATTTCTGCAGATGATGAGTTGGGACAGTGGACTTGACTGATGCTACGCTATCATTGTAGATAAGCTGAGCTAGAGTAGTTTTACCAATCCCACCCATGCCCACTATAGGAATTACATCAAGCTCTGCATCCTCAGATAGCATCAACTTCATTATCGCTTCCTTATCATCATGCCTACCAAAAACCCCAGATTCTTCCACCAGAGAAGTTGTTGGTATTTTGTATGACGAGGGTTGTTCTCCAATACCCTCTTTCAGCCCAGGAGCATCTTTCTGTTGAACTAAATATTCAAGTATCTCAAGAATCTCTTCTAACTTAGCTTCCATCTCTTCCTCTTCTTTCTGCAGTGGATTATGAGAAGATAAAAAACCCCTGACCTGATATGTGCTGGTTTGAGAGCCACCTTCGACCTCCAGTCTCAAGCCTTCATAAGCAACCTCATCCAAG